TTTGACATGAAGCTTCACGCTAACCTGTATTGATTTGCAATAGTTTATTATATATTCCTAAATTTATCGGCCATATTTTAACAAGTGTGACTTGTGCTTCAAAAGGTTCAGAATAGATGAATAATATAATGTTTATGTTTGACATCTGACTAATTGAATTTCTGCATTCACTTGCTATGTTTTATCTGTTTGGAACTTCGGGCAAGAAGTATCGAGTGGTGCCTGGTCACCAGCAGGCAGCAGCCTACTCTGGTAAAGAGGCTACGGCTCTCCTGATGCATGTGAGTATGCGACCATACAGAGTGGCTTTGATTGAAGATAGTGTATACATTTTCAATGCATTCTAATGTAAAATCTAGATAATCTTAATTTCTATTTTTTAGTTTGCTTTACTTCCCGTCCACATTAACTTGCGCTATGGTGGCCTTCCATGCATGTTCTGTGATACTGAAACCAGCAAACTTATGCAAATTATCTTCCTTTCTGTTTTTTGTTCTGTAGGAGATGCACAGATATTTGATAGATCGAGTGAATTCAGTCGTTAATTCAGGCAAGATTCCTGATGTTTCAAAATGCAAGCTTAGGGTCTTCAAGTGGAGCAAGAATACAAGTTTTAGAGATGACCCTTCAATAGTTCAGGTAAAGGTTTTGTTATGAGTGGTTTGATCAGAGCGAGACTACTAGGAACAGGATCGAGACTACCAGGAGAAGGATCTGATTGTTGAATTCAAAATTTAACTAATAGTCCAATACATCTCTTGAAAGTTTGAAACACTCATGTAAGAAAACTATATTTATCAAGTAACTACCTTTAGCTAGACTATGCTAAATTTCTTCCTTTAGTTGGACCGTGATAAAGTTGATGTGATTTCCTTCTCCCCTTTTTTTCACACATGTCATGCTCAAAGTATCATTTTTTGGTAATAGTACAAAACACACTTAATCACAAATTATTGTGACATTATTCTTTTTCCCATTGCAACATACAGGCATGATCCTAGTATTTTGGCTTGAAACCTTGGATTGAATATGTCACTGCATAGCAGTTTCTCTTGCTTCTGATTTGCCCCTTTATTTTGTTTGGATTCCCAGAGCGGTGACAAGTTTGTTGTTAAGTGGAGGCTTGCGGGCATCAAAGGTGTACAGATGATATTCGAGCACATCATTGAGAAGCTGTCTAATCACAAGGTATGAAGAACACAAAGTTACCGATTCAGGACAAAAATCAAGAAACAGTGTGGGTTTTAGCTCTTATGCCGCTGTTATGTAGCAGAACTCTGTGCGGGATTGTGTCAACCAATGTAGTTACATGTTAATCTATGCATTTATGTGCATCCATTGTATACAACGAAAGATAAAAGTATCAACATTTTCCATGACCTGTTTCTCATGGCAGCTACATGAGGCAAAGGCAATATAGATACTTTCCTGAACAAAGACTACTGCCCTACCCGTATCCTCATGATCTATTCTCCAAGATGCAACTCTTCTCATCTGAAACATTTGATGTGTTATTACTGCAATCTTTGTTTAGTACATAAAGCTTTTCTTACTCTAGAGAAATAGCACGTGCTTTAGTACACATCCACATCTTGTATTAGGAACATTAAAGGAAATTGCCGGAAGTAGGGTCATTAGTTTAGTCCAGAAAGAGAAATAGCACGTGCTTCAGTACAATCTACATCTTGTAATAGGAACATTAAAGGAAATTCTGCCTATTCGCTGGTTGGTTTCTGAGCTGGCTTAGGCTGGCTGGTGCTGACTTATTGTGAGAGGAAAACATTGTTGGCTGGTTGGTTTGGGCTGGCTGAAACCAAGAAGCGAACAGGTGATTGTCGGATGTACGATCATGAGGTGCAGACAGACAGCTTGTTCGCTTGCTCGTAAACGATCATAAATTTCTAACCAGAAACAGTGTTTTTCTCTCACACCAAACTAACTAGCAGTAAATAATTCATGATACGATATGACATCCCGAACAGAGATTAGGTGCGGGAATCAATTGTGTAATAAAGACATGAAGTGGATATCGTTCTGCATATCATTGCCATGCCGCCACTGTTCCTGCACGTGAATGTGAATGTGATGCACGTGAATGTGATGGATTAGCGCTAGCTGCATGCATCTGATGCTGCCTGCTTGTGCTTCCGAGGTTCACAGTAGGCTTATAGCCGTAACCTACGGCATGTTGGGGAGCCCGTATCGTATTATGGATTATTTACTATTGATTAATTTGGTGTGAGAAAAAAATACTATTCACGACTAGAAATTTACGATCGTTTACGAGACTAGCTAGCTGCGCGCGCATGCAGGGGATTTAAATGCGCGGGATTTGACCGCACGCGTGGGCAGGCTAGGCTAGGCTAGGCTGCCACACCAGTGACGTCCGCAGCGCGGTGCGGTGCGGCAGGACTAGCAATAATGGTCCTGTGGCCGGCGGAAGCATGTCGTGGCGTTCTCCGTGGCGCGACACGGCTGTAGGCGTGGCAGAGCCTGCCATATCACCGGCGAACGTTCACATCATCGTTCTCATCGTGTCACCGTACATAACGCGACATAGGTATTTCCCGCGTTAGGAAAATAGACGCAGACAAAAATATTAGTTTTAGAAAAAAAATAGTGTTAAATTTAAAATTAGTTTAAAAAATATTAAAAATAAAAAAAATCCACGTAGTGAAGATTGAAGGTTGTGTCATCATGGGTGACTACAAGGATGTGAAACGTATTTTGATGATGTAGCAGCGTGAGGAGCCAGAGAACTACTGTAGTGGAGATCTACTATTTAGATATAGACGATAACGTCTATTTTATTGTAGATTTTTGTCCCCTTTCATAATATAATAGTGTCGATTTTATCGTAGATTTGACAGTCCACCTAACACACATTTAGTTAGGGCCTGTTTAGATTTCAAAAAATTTTACGCGGTATCCGTCACATCGAATCTTGTGGCATATGTATGGAGTATTAAATGTAGACGAAAAAAAACTAATTGCACAGTTGGGTGAGAAATCGCGAGATGAAACTTTTGAACCTAACTAGTCCATAATTAGACACTAATTATCAAATATAAATGAAAGTGCTACAGTAGCCAAAATCTAAAAAAATTTGGATCTAAACGGGGCCTTAGACATGGATCGATGCCCCTGCTGCACCGACAACAACGTATGTATGTACACGCATAACAGTTATAATTAGCATGCACCGTACCTCTCTGCATCGCATACAAGGTTCACTAGCGACCATTCCCAACAATCCCAAGCACGAGCGAGCGAGCGAACATGGATGGTAGCAGCTTGCCTGCGGTGGAGCAGCTGAAGGCCCGGTACCTGAACTCGAGGAAGCACGACTCTTGAACAGAAACGTGCGGAGCTTGATCGGGAGATCGAGTGCCACGGAGACGTGGCCGCGCGCGCCATGGCCCACGACGTGAACCGAAAGATTATCGCGGATGATGCAAACTATTAAGCTCGTGCTTGGTGCTACCAAAAAAAAATATACAAACAGTGAGCTATTATGCAACGAAAAATTGAAAAGAACAAATAAACAATTAAGAAATCCGCCTACCTGATCGTGCTTCGTGCTCGGCACTTAGCTGCAAGCTGCTCTTGATCAGTATAGACAATAATTGAACCAAGATTTCTTAATCAGTTAGCAAATTAAACAAATGGTACAACAGCTGCGATGAAAAATATTAAGCTCGTGCTTGGTGCTACCTGAAAAAAGAAAAATAAACAGTAAGCTATTATGTAACGAAAAAAATGAAAAGAACAAATAAACAATTAAGAAATCCACCTACCTGATTGTGCTTTGTGCTCGGTACTTAGCTGCAAGCTGCTCTTGATGTCCGCAGCACCATTGGTGCACGGCGGCATTGCATGTTCGCGATTTATTTTTATCTCTGGACCATGATTCATGTCGCAGGTCACGGTAGCTGGTTGCGTCAGGCCACCAAGGTCGTTGATATATTGATGGCATGATGGGGAGATTGAGAGCAGCACGATGATCCTTTGCATGCCCACTCACACAGACTGTATCAAATTGAATGCTTCCTTGGTGAAGATGAAATCGTAAGAGGCCGCATGAAACCGAATGACTGCTCAAATTCCTCCACTTTCTAGCTGTTTTCTATGCATTTAGTGGAGAAGATCCTAAAGGAGATGGGCATGCACGTAGTGCAAGATTGAAGGTTGTGTCATCATGGGTGACTACAAGGGATGTGAAACTTATTTTGATGACGTGGCAGCACGATGAGCCAGAGAAACACTGTAGCAGTGATCTACACTGTTTAGGTATAGAAGATAACACAATTACTTAGACATGGATCGATGCCCCTGCTGCACCGACAACAATGTACACGCATTCAATTTGATACAACCTCTCTGCATTCAATTGTATGTACACGCATAACAGTATATAATTAGGGGCCTGTTTAGTTCCCCAGATTTCCTGAATTTGGCACTATGCAAAAAAAAGATTCCCCATTACATCAAATTTGCGGTACATGTATGGAGTACTAAATGTTAACGAAATCAAAAACTAATTGCACAGTTTGGTTGTACTTTGCGAGACGAACGTTTTGAGCCTAATTAGTCAACGATTGGACAATTATTATCAAATAAAAACAAAACGCTACAGTGTATCTACAGTATGCCGAATCCGACCTCCAACTAAACGTGGCCTAGGGCCCGTTTAGTTCCACTCAAAAGCCAAAAAATTTTGCGCAGTATCTATCACATCAAATCTTGCGGCACATGCATAGAGTAATAAATGTAGCGAAAAAAAAACTAATTACACAGTTAGGTGAGAAATCGCTTGACGAAACTTTCGAACCTAATTAGTCCATAATTAGACAGTAATTATCAAATACAAACGAAAATACTACAGTACCCAAAATTAAAAAAATTTGCCAACTAAACAAGCCCTTAGCATGCACCGTACCTCTCTGCATCGCATACAAGGTTCACTAGCGACCATTCCCAACAATCCCAAGCGAGCGAACATGGATGGTAGCAGCTTGCCTAAGCGCGATGCTAACTTTGTTCCTCTGAGCCCAATAACCTTCCTGCCGAGGGCCGCCTCTGCCTACGCCGATCGCACCTCAATCGTATATGGCAGCATCAGCTTCACCTGGCGGCAGACGTACCAACGCTGCTGCCGCCTCGCCGCCGCGATCCAGCAACTCGCCGTCTCCAGGAATGACGTCGTAAGTGATCTGATGACCAGTGCTTATTTCATTCAACCTGTTCGCTTGCTCGTAAACGATCGTAAATTTCCAGTCAGAAACAGTGTTTTTCTCTCACACCAAACCAGCCAGCAGTAAATAATCCACGATACGATACGGCCTCCCGAACATGCTGTTACTACGTATATGCCCGTACGTCATACCGGGTCCAGAATTTTTGCTCATGTCTACGGCGACGCAGAGATGGTTATGTTGTTATGCTGCAATTATATGTTTAGTTCTAGCAAGTTGGTAGAGTTGGAAAAAAATGGCCTGTTCGCTGGTTGGTGCTGGTGTTGGTTTAGGCTGGCTGGTGTTGGTTTTTTATGAGAAAAAAACACTGTTGACTGGTTGGTTTGGGCTGACTGAAACCAACAAGCGAACAGGCTGAAAATGAAAATTTTAAGTTGTATAAATAATAAGCATCTTTTCATTTGAGAACTTTCGGACCAAGACTGGGGGTGATCGGTGGATGTCCTAAAAAGTGAATTCATTTATCGCTTTATCGCAATTTTTTTAGATGAAGACTGGGGGTGATCGGTGGACGAAGACTGCATTTTTTTAGATGAAGTGATGGGGCTATTGTTGACACTCACTCGAATGCAAGTCTACATCACTTTATCGCAATTTTTTTAAAGATGTTTTGACTCTGGACATCTAATTTAGAGTGGAGAGAGTAAGATACTAACAAACTACCCTCCTAGCATGAGCGAATAACTATCCTGCATGCACATGCACTTATGCAGGTGTCCGTTCTTGCACCCAACACGCCGGCGCTGTACGAGATGCACTTCGCCGTGCCCATGGCCGGCGCGGTGCTCAACGCCATCAACACGCGTCTCGACGCGCCCAACGTCGCAGCCATCATCAAGCATGCCGAGCCCAAGGTGTTGTTCGTGGACTACCAGTACATCACCGTGGCCACGAAGGCGCTACAACAAAGCGTCTCCATGGACATGGGAGATCACCGGAGGACGATGCCCCTGCTTGTCGTCATCGACGACATCGAGAAGCCGACGGGTGTCACCGTCCCCGCCCCATCAGGCGAGGGCGATGGGCACCACCAGCTACCCGTCCTCGAGTACAAGCAACTGGTGGCGCGTGGCGACACGGCACGACACCCGCCCCGCCCTGTCGAGGACGAGTGGGACGCCGTCGCGCTCAACTACACCTCAGGGACCACCTCAGCGCCCAAGGGCGTCGTGTACAGCCACCGCGGTGCGTACTTGAGCACCCTGGCTCTCCTGCTCCAATGGGGCGTCGGACACGAGCCCGTCTACCTGTGGTCGCTTCCAATGTTCCACTGCAACGGGTGGATGCTCACATGGGGCATGGCGGCGTGCGGCGGTGCCAACGTCTGCATCCGCGCGCCCACCGCCGAGGCTATGTACGCCGCCTTCGCCGCCCACGGCGTCACCCACATGTGCGCTGCCCCGGTGCTCTTCAACATCCTCTTAGAGGCCTGCCACGAGCCGCTGCCCCGCACCGTGGAAGTGCTCACCGGAGGCGCGCCGCCACCCGCGGCGCTGCTCCAGCGCGTCGAGCAGCTCGGCTTCCACGTGACGCACGCCTACGGCATGACAGAGGCCACCGGCGTGGCCATGGTCTGCGAGTGGCGTCACCAGTGGGATGCCCTGCCGCCCTCTGAGCGGGCGCGCCTCAAGGCCCGGCAGGGCGTCAGCGCGCTCTCGCTCGCTGACGCCGACGTCATCAAGGACCTCAAGACCATGGAGAGCGTGCCCAGGGACGGCGCAACCCTCGGCGAGATCGTGCTCTGTGGCAGCAATGTCATGAAGGGATACTTGAAGGATCCCGGCGCCACGGAGGCCGCGTTCCGGGGTATGTGGTTCCTGACGGGCGACGTGGGTGTCATCCACCCGGACGGCTACGTGGAGATCAAGGACCGGTCTAAGGACGTGATCATCTCCGGCGGCGAGAACATCAGCAGCGTGGAGGTGGAGGCGACGCTGTACCAGCACCCGGCGGTACAGGAGGCAGCGGTGGTGGCCATGCCGCACCCGTACTGGGGTGAGACGCCGTGCGCTTTCGTGGCGTTGAAGAGGGAGTTCAAGGTGACGAAGGAGGAGGAGATTCTGTCATTCTGCCGGAACAAGCTGCCCCATTTCATGGCGCCGAAGATGGTGATCTTTGTTGACAGTCTGCCCAAAAACTCCACAGGCAAGGTGCAGAAGGTTGAGTTGCGCCAGAGGGCACAGAGGCTGACCAAAACACCAACGACTGCTGCGGTGTCTAGCAGGTTATGATCATGCAGGCGGCACACATGACACCAGGTCCTATTGGGCATATTGATGAGTTTATGTATTAGAACTGTACAAGATAAAAGGTAAACCCAGAATCCATGCCTTATACAATAATAAAAAGTAATTTCACAATAATAATTGAATAAAAATAGCATTTTGATTTTTCATATGATTGTAAAGAAAATGTATAAAGAACAACCCATATAAAAACATAATTACTAAACGTAGTAAAATTTGAATAAGACATGAAAAATTAATAGTTTATTCTCTAAAAGAACTAAAAAGAGAGTATATAAATGAGTAGTCTATATAAATTAGAATTAGTAAAAAAACTAAATAAAATGACAAATTAGAAAAAAAAACAGTAGTTTGATTTTCCAATTGTTGAAAAACAAGTAAATAAAAATTTAGTACATTAGTATAAGTTCGAAGAAGACATTGTTTCGTTCTCAACGGCTAAATCTGTGACACTAAATCTATAGACCGAGATTGTAACAAACTAGCCGTCTAAAGCTACGAAATGATACAAGAAAAATTAAGAAAGAATAATCACAAATAGAACAAGTATAAAAAAGATAATAGGTGTAGAATTAATCAACGTTACAACAAGTTTTTGCTATGGTTTTAAAAATAAGAAAATCACAATGGACGTCTCTGGAAAGGATCACATACTGAACAAATGATATCTAAGCTCAGATAAAAACAATAATAGCTTTCTTTTTTAGGAAAAAACAATAATAGCTTCTTTGAGCAAAAAAACAATCTTTAATAACTTAAACCGTGTCGCGGTAACGAAAAAGTATTTCGCCACGTCATCATGATGTCATCTGACAAATCTGAACTGTTAGATGATAATCTATCAGCATGAGTGATGCTAGTAGCAACCGGTTTCTTTTGGACTTCTAGCGATACATAACTCTAGAAAGTTACCATAGGACATAGGTAAATAAAAAATTACATACTCCGTGACCAGCGCTTAAGCTTCTAATAAAAAACGTTAAGGGGACTCTAGAAAGTTATAGAGAAGCATATGTATATAAATATAATATGAACTTTAAACGGATTGGAATTTGTGGGATCTTCCTAGTGCATAATCCCAGAAAGAAAATTTATTAACCAACGGGGGAAAAAGTGATGGGAGATTAGAGCAAAACCTGGCTGAGCTCGGTGTCCAAACCCGCCGCAAGGTTCGCGGCGGTGCAAGCGAAATCAGAACTGATCTGAGTAGAGCAGCGTTACAACGACAACAAAATACGGCTGACATCGTGAAGTTTTACCGTCGCTCAGCGGAGGGCAGATGCGTGATTTGTTGCTCCCTGCTTGTCGCAGTCGACGGCGGTCGCAGACTCGCAAGCAGCCGCCGCCGTTGAATGGGAGAACGACTGAAGAGTGGGGAAGGTGTGCGTGAGCGTGACGAGGATTCCGTTGGGCCTCTGCGTGCTGCGAATTTGAGTACCTGGCGGCTGGCGGCTTCAATTTTGGCCCACCAGCAGAAATTGGAGTAGAGGCTACCAAAGCACCCAAGGCCCAAGGGAGCCTGGCTCGCATAGCCGCATCTAGACTGAATATGCAATAGTTGTTCGTGTTTACTGAATTTGAGCGTTTAATTGATTAGATGCACTAAGATATTTGGTAATTGGTATATAAAATGAAAATGGAAATACAAGAACAAAAATAGTATTTACTTTGTTTATACTTTACAATACTTATTTTCTAAGCCTCAATTTATTTTTGCAACATACTGATATACTGCAAAATATGCTAATTATTTGCTAATATCATTTCATTCTTGTTTTCTAGGAGCCAGGTGCTGCTGCTTTTGCACGCTGAGGAACAAGCCCAGACCTTCACCCAGGCATCCAAACATTCAGCAGCTACATGCACGAAGCCTAGTCAGGACGTTCGCAAGGAACCAAGTACATTTAAAAAAACACACACACAAGAATAACGCTGATAAATTCTAAATTCAAAAAAATACAAACAGCCGAAAACTTAAACTCGAGTGAATAGATTTTAACATAAAACTGAGCTAGCTTGGTTGATTCCTGCCTGCTGTTGCAGTTGTAGTGCATTTCTCGGACTCATGTGTGCGTTTTGTCCGGAGTCCCGCACTTGGCCAGGTCCTTCCATGTGAACTTCTGCCTCTTCTTCTCCTGCGGCATCAGGCCCGAGTAGTTCTTCCATTGGCCGAGCACGTCCGTTAGGTCGTGCAGCTTGTTCCCGAGCCCCACGCAGCAGTTGGCGTGCATGGTGCACGCCGCGGCCATGTCGATGTGGAAGATCCGGCAGAAGCTGCCGAAGCGCGCCGAGTTGAGGAACTGGACGCGCGCGCCCAGGTCATGGGCGAGCTCGTGCTTGATCTCGTTGAAGATGGCTTGCTCGTGGTTCGGCGGGAACCGCGCCCGCGCCGTGCGCCACCGCCGCAGCTGTTAGTAATTCTAGAGTATTCTTCAGCATAGCATATCTATTTTTAGCACATGCATGCACACGAGGATCGGCTTGTGGTTAGTGTGTGCGTAGGAAGTCATGGACGAGAATCGCTCGGCATGAACTCGAGCATGCAAGCCATGGCGGCTGTTGCGGGCGCATGGGGATGGACGTCGCGCTCTGCGCAGCAACTGCAGCGTCGTGGCTTGCATCTCTCGCTTTGTAATTCAATAAATAGCAATACAATCCCGAAAACGCTGCACCCTTGGTAGCACCAAACTCTCGTGTTCATCGTTTGTTTCTCGCTTCGCCGCCGCATTCTTCGCCGCCGTTCGGTTTTTCGACAAGTGGTATCGAGCCAAGTGTTCGAGGGACGCGCGCGTCGCCATGGCGTCTCCGCCGAGACCCCGCGCCGTTCACGGTTGGCAAGGGTGACGGCAAGAAGAAGACCGACGACTCCGGCATCTCCGACGCCAAGACCCCGGAGCGCACTGCTTCACCGGCCAGATCTCCGCCTCGTCGATCCCGCACGCGCGACGCACGCCGTTCGCGGGAGGTCGTCGTCGAGCGCATCATCCGGGAAGGAAGCTCCGGCAACTGGCCGTAGCTCACCAAGACTAATTACCATGAATGGGCGCTTCGCATGCAACTGAAGATGGAAGCGCGCCACCTGTGGGACGCCGTCGTTGACGACGACGCGGAGTACGGCGACGACCGCAACGCCCTCGACGCGATCTGCAGCGGTGTTCCACCAGAGATGGTCCCCGTCCTGGTGGCCAAGAACACGGCCAAGGAGGCCTAGGAGGCCATCAAGACCTTCCGCATCAGCGACGATCGCGTGCGGAAAGCAACGGCACAGAACCTCTGCGCCGAGTACGAGTCCATCGCCCTCCGCGACGGTGAGCCCATTGAGGACTTCGCCTTGCGCATGACTGGCATCGTGCAGCGCCTGGCGACGTTGGGCGATCCGGAGCTCGACGAGAAGGTGGTGGCCAAGTATCTGCGCGTCGTCCGCCCACGCTACAAGCAGTTGGTAATCTCGATTGAGACCGTTCTTGACATTTCACTGGCTGTCCATAGAGGAGGTCATGGGGAGATTGAAAGGCCGCCGACGACGTCGAGCCCGCTCCGCCATAAATCGTGGAGTGGAAAATTGCTCCTCATCGAAGAGCAATGGGTTGAGAAGTACAAGAAGAAGGACAGGAGTCCGCCGGGGGCGGTTTCAGCTCCGGCGATCGTGGGTAAGTTCGTGGTGGCGAGAGGCGCGGCGGCGCGCTCCGGCGGGTCAAGGAGCTCCGGCGGTTCCAGCTCTTCGCGCCCGCCGCCGGACGACCCCTGTCCGCGCTATGGCAAAAAGGGCCACTGGGGGCCATGACCGCCGCAAAGAAGAAGAAGGAGGAGCCGCCCAATGTGCCCATGTGCCCCAAGAAGAAGAGGCCACCCGATGCTTGCCATCGGTGTGGCCTGTGCAAGAGGACACCAGTTCCTCCGCCGCCGCGCCGCCAAGGCTTCACCGTGACTCCGCCGCCTCCACCCGCGGCTCTCCTCGAGCTCCATCTCGTGGAGAAGAAGGTCCACGCCGAGTTCGACGATGCGGCGGACCGAGATCCAACGCGCTGGATTCTGGACACCGGCGCGTCCAATCACATGTCCGGATCCCGCGCCGCCTTCTCCGACCTCGACACCGGCGTCATAGGCTCTGTCCGATTCATGGATGGCTCCATCGCTCGCATCGAGGGCACCGGCACGGTGCTCTTCCACTGCAAGAACGGTGAGCACAGAGCGCTCGCCAACGTCTACTTCCTCCCTCGCCTCACCGCCAACATCATCTCCGTCGGCCAGCTCGACGAAGGTGGGTACCAGGTGCTGGTGGAGCACGGCGTGATGCGGGTTCGTGATGAAGACCGGTGCCTCCTCGCCAAGATCCCTCGGAGTCCAGGCCATCTGTACAACCTCGACGTCACCATCGCGCGCCCGGTGTGCCTAGCTGCGCACACGGACAACGATGCCTGGAGGTGGCACCAGCGTTTCGGCCACATCCACTTCGCCGCGCTGCGCAAGATGGGTGTGAGGAGCTGGTGCGCGGGCTGCCCGTCATCGACCAGGTGCAGCAGGTTTGCGACGCCTGTCTCACCGGCAAGTAGAGGAGGGCGCCCTTCCCTCAGAAGGCGCTCTGGCGTTCCACGGAGCCGCTGCAACTCCTTCATGGAGACATTTGCGGTCCCATCACACCTGCGACCCTGAGTGGTAACAAGTATTTCCTTCTACTTGTTGATGACTACTCATGCTTCATGTGGATCTCCCTGCTGCCATCCAAAGACGCCGCGGTCACCGCCATCAAGAACATTCAGGCCGTGGCGGAACGCAAGAGTGGCAAGAAGATGCTGATGCTGTGAACTGATCGTGGCAGAGAGTTCGCCGCCACCGACTTCATCAACTACTGCGCCCAACTCGGTGTTCGCAGGCAACTCACGGCGCCGTACACGCCTCAACAGAACGGTGTCGTCGAGCGCCGCAACCAAACTGTGGTGGGCACGGCCAGGAGCATGATGAAGGCCAAGTCTCTCCCTGGTGTGTTCTGGGGGGAGGCGGTGACGACGGCGGTTTACCTGCTGAACAGATCCTCCTGCAAGGCGATCGGCGGGCGCACCCCCTACGAGCTCTGGAACGGGCGCACGCCGTCGGTCCAGCACCTCAGGATGTTCGGCTACATCGCCCACACGAAGGTGAACACGCCGCACCAGAAGAAACTCGACGATCGCAGCCGCCGCATGGTGTTCGTCGGCTACGAGCCGGGGTCCAAGGCCTACCGGGTCTATGATCCTTCGACACAACGTGTCCACATTAGCCGTGACATCGTCTTCAACGAAGCAGCAGCATGGGCATGGTCTGCAGTGGATCCCGCCGAGCCGAACGACTTCACCGTCGAGGAGCTGGAACATCAAGAGCCCTCCGTGGTCACCACCACCAGAACGACTACGGTGGTCTCCCCTGCGTCAAGCCCGGCGTCACTGTCTCCATCGGGCACGGCCGCGTCCCCGGCTCCAGGCGTGCCCATGGCTGACTCACCGGCGACACAAGATGCTCCATCAGCATCCGGCTCCGCGGCACATCCTCAAGTGGAGTTCGCATCCCCACCAGGAGCTGAGATGGGGGACTACCTCGACGCCGATCATGATGACGACGCTCCTCTTCGCTTTCGCCGCGTCGACAACGTACTCAGGGAAGCCCAGATGCCCGAGCTCGCTCACCGCGATCTGGAGGAGCGTCTGCTGCTGGCGAGCGACGCCGAGCCAGCCTCTTTCGATGAAGCAATGCGCTACGAGTACTGGCGCCACGCCATGCTCGATGAGATGACCTCCATCGAGGCCAGCGGCATGTGGAGACTGGTGGAGCCGCCGGCGCGCACCAGGCCGATCGGCCTCAAGTGGGTGTTCAAGGCAAAGAAGGACGCCACCGGCATCATCACCAAGTACAAGGCCTGCCTCGTCGCAAAGGGCTACGTGCAGCGGCAGGGCATTGACTTTGACGAGGTCTTTGCCCCCGTCGCGCGCCTAGAATCAGTTCGCCTCCTGCTCGCGCACGCCGCATGTCAAGGATGGGTCGTCCACCATATGGACGTGAAGTCGGCGTTCCTGAACGGGGTGCTTCAGGAGGAGGTGTACGTCGAGCAGCCTCCTAGCTACGTCCTCCGCGGGCATGAGAACAAGGTGCTTCATCTCATCAAAGCACTCTATGGGCTGCGTCAAGCTCCACGGGCGTGGTACGCTAAACTAGATGAGTCCCTCGTCGGGCTCGGGTTTCGGAGGAGCGCCTCAGAACATGCTGTCTACCTACGCGGGGCTGGAGCTCGCCGGCTGGTGGTCGGGGTCTATGTCGATGGCCTGATCATCGCTGGCGGCAACCAAGTCGACATCGACACCTTCAAGGACCAGATGAAAGCTACATTCAAGATGAGCGACTTGGGTCTACTCCACTACTATCTTGGTCTGGAGGTGTCCCAGACTGAGGCCGACATCTCCATCTGCCAGAGCTCCTATGCAGCCAAGATCCTGGAGATAGCAAGCCTGACGGGCTGCAACTCCAGCGCAACGCCAATGGAGCCTCGCCTGAAACTCAGCAAGGTGAGCTCGGCTCCAGCTATTGATCCTACCATGTATCGCAGTGTGGTGGGCTCCCTGCGGTACTTGGTGAACACAAGACCCGACTTGGCGTACTCAGTGGGCTTCATCAGCCGGTTCATGGAGAACCCAACCACTGAGCATCTGGCGGCCATGAAGCGAGTACTGCGCTATGTCGCTAGTACCCTGCACTTCAGCTGCCACTACAAGAGGAAGAAGGATCCCCAGCTTGTCGGCTACAGCGACAGCGACTTGGCTAGGGACATTGACACGCGCAAGAGCACCTCAGGCACCCTCTTCTTTCTCGGTGACAACACCATCTCCTGGCAGTCTCAGAAACAGAAGATTGTGGCACTGTCTTCGTGCGAGGCTGAGTACATTACAGCGACGACAGGAGCATGCCAGGGAATATGGCTGGCGCGGCTACTTGCCGAACTCAAGGACGAGGAGGCCCGCGCCGTCACCTTGAAGATCGACAACGAGTCTACCATCGCACTCAGCAAAAACCCTGTCTTCCATGATCGCAGTAAGCATATCTGAAAGCATCTAGGCCCCTAAGTGGATTTCAGTGATTAATGTCAATACAAGATTACTATGACTAACGTGTGTTTTGCAGAGGCAATTAAGTTAGGTCATGGTAATGGAGATCGATTGGGCAATTGAGGTTGTCATGCCCCTACGATGGAAATCGTTTCGGTTTTCAAAGGATGGACGACAAGGTTAAGGATAACTAGTTCTAAGTGTCAATTGAAGTTGGAGAGACACTTAGAGTAGTTTAGGACTTTGTTTTTCCTTTGGCCGTACTATGAAGGGGGGGTATGAACGGGTAGCTTGACCTAGTTGAGTCTAGTGAGTTAGGTGTGGTGCACACTTGTTAAAACTAGCTCTAGGTAGCTCCTATGAATGCCTAAGATCCTTTGGAGCTAACTTCATTCACATATGTTCGAGAGTTGAAGTAAATGGAGGGTCAAATCTTGACCCGGACGCTGGCTCTCGTCATGACCGGACGCCTGGTCGCAGGTCCGGTCAGTTCATTTGATCGAGGAGAACAAGTCTGGAGTGACCAGACGCTGGAGGAAGGTCGTGTGGACGCCGGGGCTGGGGGCCAGCCCCGGTCGACTCGATAAGGGTCCAGACTTGAGAAAGTGTGGACCGGACGCGTCCGGTCGGTGGTGACCGGACCCTAAGTATCCGGCGTCGGTCGATTCTGAGAAAGCTTCAAGAGCGGCCGGACGGCGTTCGGTCAGTCGTCTGGACGGACCACTGGCGTCCGGTCATCACTTGGAAACTATTGCGCGGATTGAACTGACCGGAGCGTCCGGTCAATACGATCGGAGCGTCCGGTCATCCCGCAGAAGCTCATAACGGTTCATTTTTTTAGGCTGCCTTATAAATAGAAGCTCCACTCGTGTGTGGAGTTACTTTTGCTCATTCCAATAGCTGAGAAACACGTTTGTGGGTGCCAAGAAGAGCAAGGTCCTAGTGAGGTGTTTGTGATTTGAGAATCCAAGAGTGAAACCTCATTAGTGAATCAAGAGTAGACAAGTGTGCATCCATCTTCTCATTAGGCTTCGCGTGGTCAAGTGAGAGTTCGTGCTTGTTACTCTTGGTGATCGCCATCACCTAGACGGCTTGGTGGTGATTGGGAGCTTGGTGATCACCCGGCGGAGCTTGTGGGTGATCCAACTCAAGTTGTCAGCGGTTTTGGGTGATTCACCGCGATGGAGTGTCAAAGAATCAACCCGTAGAGAGCACTTGATACTTGCGCGGATCAAGGGGGAGCTACACCCTTGCACGGGTGCTCCAACGAGGACTAGTAGAGAGTGGCGACTCTCCGATACCTCGGCAAAACATCGCCGCGTTCCTCTCTCCATTTACTTTGAGCATTTACTTTAAGTATTTACTTTGAGCAATTCAATACTCGTCTTTACATTCATAGAATTGCTATGCTAGAGTAAGTTTGGAACATAGGTTGTAAGTCTTTTGTGCGTTGATTTGATAGAAACACTTTTTCTAGGGACAAGGGGTTAATTGGGCTATCCGTAGGATTTGATTATTGCAAGAAAATTTAGAATTAGCCCAATTCACCCCCCCTCTTGGGCATCTTGATCCTTTCAATTGGTATCAAAGCCTCGTGCTCACGTTTTAAGCCTAACCGCTTAGAGCAAGATGTCTCACGGGGATGGACCTCCTCCTATCTTCGAGGGGGGTGATTTTCCATATTGGAAAATTCGCATGGAGGCTTACCTAGAAGCTTTAGATGTTGGAATTCTTAGAGCTGCCTCTCAAGGGTTCCCAACACCTAAGAATGCCGCACAACTTCAAGGCGATGAAGTAAACTATGAAAAATGGAATGCAAAGGCTCGCAACACTATCTTTAGAGGCCTTTGCAAAGATGTGTTTAATCGTGTAAGGAACCACAAAGACGCCCATGCACTATGGTCGGACGTTTGTGCGCTCCATGAGGGAACCAAGAGTGAGCAGGAAGTCAATGGGCTTGGACTTACTCAAATGTCACCATCCGACGTTGTGAGAAAGATCTTGAGTGTCCTCCCCATTGACAAATATGGGCACATTGTGACCGTGCTACATCAAGGTGATCTTTCCGCCGCTACACCGACACAAATCTTGGGAAAGATCAATGCTCATGAGATGTACATGCACATCACGCCACAAGATGGCTCATCCTCTACAAAGAAGAAAGAGAAGGACTTAGCATTCAAAGCTAGCTAAGATAAGGACAAGGCAAGACTTGAGTATGAGAGCTCAAGTGATGAAGATGATGAAGAAAGTCTTGCTCTCATGATGAAGAAGACCGCCAAGATGCTAAAGAAGCTAAACAAGAGTGGCATCAAGTTTGACGGCAAGAAGAAGAAGTTCTTCACTAGCTCAAGAAGAAAGCCAATCTCCGAGATGGATTGCTACAATTGTGGCGAACTTGGCCACCTAGCTCATCAATGCACAAAGCCCAAGAAAGACAAGTTCAAGAACAAGGGCAAGAAAGATGATTCAAGTGATGAAGAAGATGAAAAAAAAGAACAAGCCATACAAGAAGAGAGATGGCAAAAAAGAGAGACTTCTACAAGAAGAAGAAGAGTGGCAAGGCCTATATTGTCGGTGATTGGCTCACGGACATTGATTCCTCAAGTGGATCATCCGATGATGAGAGTGACAATGAGAAGGTGGCCGCCATTGCTATTGATCTTGCATCCTCATCGCCACCATCACCATCATCCTCTACACACCTATGCCTTATGGCCAAGGGTGAACATAAGGTAACTAAGAGTGATGATAGTAGTGATGATGAGCAAGCTAGTGATGATGATAGTGATAGCGATGATGATTCACCCACATATGATGATCTTGTCAAAATATTAAGAAAATACACTAAGATCATTAGAAAGAGTAGAGCTACAAATGACAAACTTGATGCTAAAATGATTCACTCTTAGCTAAGTGTGATGCATTGGAAAAGGCTAATGATGAGCTCAAAGAAACAAATGACTCTATATCATCCAAACTCAAGGAGCTCAAATCTTCTAAGAAAGAGCTTAAAGATAAACATGATAAACTTGAGTGGGTGCACAATGAGCTTATCATTAGTCACAACAAGCTAAAAGATGAATATACAACTCTAAAGATCAATTATGATACCCTTGTTATTGCACAAGAATTCTTACCAAATGAGCCACATGTTGCTACTAACCATGTTGTTAAGATTGATATAGCTACCTCATGTGATGATTTAATTGATGAGAGCATTGAGCATGGATCTAGTAGCAAAGGCAAGCAAGTGGTTGAGTGCAATGACTATGATGAGTATGTCAAGCTCAAGAGTGACCATGAGAAGCTCATGAAAGATCTTGAAGAGATGAAAAGTCACAACACCATTGTGCTAGAAACTCTTGATCATGACAAAGAGTTGATCCTTGAGAATGAGAAGCTCAAAGAAGAAAATAAGAAACTCAAGGAAGAGAAGAACAATGATATTCTCACGGAAGAAAACAAGAAGCTCAAGATGGAGAAAGAGCATCTCAAGGTGGGATTGAACAAGTTCGCTAGAGGCAAGCATCTCTAAAGTGAGCTACTCATGAATACCGTCATGAAGATGAATAGAAGTGGCATTGGATATATGGCAAGTGTAGAGAAGAAGAAGGCTCAAGCTCAACACCAACAATC